TGTTTATACATTTGGTAAATAAATACATTATTTTTCATAATATGTATGCGTGGTCGTAGAAAAAAAAGTGTACCTGACGATCATTAAGATGCGTCTTATTTTTAAGTGCTATAACTGTTATACATATTCGCATCATTAAATCGTTGTTTTATAATACACCATTAAATTACCTGGTTTTTATATAATGGTTTTGTGACCTTGTGAAGATTTAATGAAATCATCTTTAAACTTATGTAATTGCCAACACTAAAAACAAAATTAAACGAAGATGACTCGGCATATGAACCGGTAGTTTATAATAATCTATTAAAAAAATATACAAAGATCATCCGTCAATTCTTTTTTTTTTATTTTTTTTTTATTTAAACACAAAACCACATCAACCGTCGCAGGGTTATTAGTGGCTGTAACAAATACATGAAATATTACATTAAATACAATTGAATGATACATTAAGTACAATTGAATATTACATTAAATACAATTGAATAAATTGATGTCTTTTAAATAGCTTAACACTGTTGAAATTTTTTTGGTGAGAACTGTCTTGAGATCATCATCTGTGAATCCATGGGATCTTTCTTTTTTCCATGAATTGAGGACAATCAAGCAAGATATGTTTGACAGTCAGTGGGTTAGAGCAGCTGCAAGCAGATAGGTAGTGGTTCTTTTGTTATTAAGTATTTGTGTGTTAAGGCAGTATGGCCAATTCTTAGACGATTAATAATGACTTGGTTTCTTCTGTTTAAAGGAGTCTCCAGAACATCAGTTATTTTTGGGCAAATTACATTTAGTTTTAGTACCTAATTTTTCCCAATAATTTTGCCAAGTATTAATACAATGGATTTTAACCACGTTTTTTAGATCGGTGTACGGATATGTCTTCAATTGTGCAATATGGTTTGAGTTCATTCGACTTTTGTTAGCCAGTTGATCTGCTTTTTCATTTCCGTAGATACCTATATGTGATGGTACCCAATAAAAGCCGCTTCCTTTCCTAATGATGAAATTTTTTCTAGTACGTTTTTTATATTCTGTATATAGGGTTGTTGGTTATATATTTTTTTCAGTTTCAGTAATGCATTTAATGAGTCTGTTACGATAATGCACTTCATCGTTCTACTCTTTTCGAAGAAGATTAGGGCTTTCCAAAATAGCTGTAGCTTCACCTGTTAGTATACTGCAGTTGGTTGGTATCGATATGCTATAAGAATTTTCTTTACAGTAGTAGGCAGCAGCGTGACCATTGGGAGTTTTAGAGGCATCGGTAAAGATTTGCAAATAATTAGGATAGTGGTCTAGAATTTCCATGAATAGAGATTTAATTACTGTGGAATTTTGTAGTAGATTTGGGATACTTGGTAAGTGTTACATCAATAGTTAATGGGTGGCTTGTCCATGGGGATAGTTTTGCGTTTATATGTAGTGTTGCATTGAAATGATTCCTATCAAAAGTTGTAAGGTTTTATTCTTTCTATGAGGGGTGTAGGTCAATTCTTAATCGGTGCATTCGGAAGTATGTTAGAAAATTATAAACTACTGGGACCTTTAAAAATGGTCAAAAATGGAAAAAAAGAGTAACAGGGAAGAACCCACTGAAAAAGAAGAAAATATAACAAAAATTAAAAAAACTTATTTATTTTCGGACTATCGGGGGTCGGGAAGTGGAAAGGGGTGAGTTTTTTAAGGACAAAAACGTTTTATCACGATTTTCGTTAAAGCTAACACATACTACGGAAAAATTTTTAAATAACAAAGTTGTTGGAAATAAAAACACAGCAAGTTGAGTTTTTTTGTTTTTTATTTTTATCTTCCACAAAAAAAATTTTTACGATATTTGGTGACTCGTTAGATGGTCAAATGGTCTGTAATTTTTTCGGTACATCCTCTGTATTCAATTTCTGTTGAGAATGTCTCTGGTCTTAAGGAATCTTCTTGTGGCCTGAGATGAAGAAGTAGGAAGTTCTCCATCATGGTTTATTTCTGCACATCCCCATGAAGTCTCCTGCTAATACCACGGTTTCTGTGAAATCTATCATCTCGTCGATTTCTTCTGGAGCTAGATTGTAGTCGCCTCTTCCCCTATAAACGTGTTCGATACTGCAATATAGACTTGAAAGCTGGACATTGAAGCAAGAACACATAAAGAAGTTACAGTCCTTTGAAATGTGGTGTTACAGGAGGATGCTTAGAATAGCATGGACACAGAAGAAAACTAACACGGAAGTATTGCGAGAAATGGGCAAAGAATGCGAAGTAATAAACACAATAAAAACAAGAAAGTTACCATATCTGAGACAAGTAATGAGGGGACATCGATATGAACTGCTACTGCTAAGGCTGATAATACAGGAAAAGATGGAGGAAAAGAGGAGGAAGGAGTACAGGAAGAAGGAGAGTGTCATGGTTGAAGAATTTAAGGGACTGGTTTAAATACAGTTCTATAGAACTCTTCAGGAGTAGCAGTAGATAAAGTAAAGATAGTGATGATGATATCCAACCTCCAATTGGGAGACAGCACGTAAAGAAGAAGAGTAAATATAGATTTCTAGTACAGATGGTGACATCTGTAAAGTGAACCTATGTTTTCGTGAATGAATTTTTCTTCTTCAATTGAGACAATTCAGGAGTAAAGTTTATAGACTTGATTGAGATGGTTTGCAAATGATTGTGCTTTATATTTATGACTTTTTACCCAATCATCTTCTTCTCTTCATCCGAAATAAGTATTATATCATAATTTATATTATTTAGTACTAATGTACTTTTGATTGAGCTTTCTATTATACAAAAATTCAAGTAATCATTCTCATTAAATGGTAATTAGTAGCCAAAGATTTTGTTAGAATTGCATCATAGATTTGTAGTATTATTTTAACATTTTGTTTACGTTTGTTGAAAGTGTATATTACTACAATCATTTATACCAGTATTCTAAAGTCCATGTCATTATTCGCCTATATAATTATAAATTATAATTAACTTGATTTAAGTACCTAACATAGCAAATGTTATAATTAACCTGCTTGTTTAGTTTTTTTTTTTATAAAACATAATATATTATACCAAAACAAACGAAAGCAAACCCAACCAGAATTTAAATATTTTAGATGAGAACTTTCGTGACCTCCACAAAATGTCATTCTTACCTACAATTTTCATTGTAAACAAAGTTTATTTCCGATATATAACAAAAGATAAATACATTGTTCCTTTTTTATCGCAATTCATATGCGTTGTATTTATTGTTTGGCAATTAATTGCACAATATATTGACATATACTCGAGAGGCGCTTACCTTTATGTATATTACCTATGTCCAGCTGAAAGATTTACGCACTGTAGTTTCAGTATATAGTTTCAAAGTATACAATCTACATATTTCACAAATTAGATGTTGCATTACGTCGAGTTTCTAGCCCTGAATCGAAACAACAGAAAATATCTTTTCAAAATAGTTATTATCCAATGAATTTTGAAGACAGAAAATTAGACTTCAATTCAAACGTTCAATCTGCAATGACATTAAATTTTCAAACTGTACAATCTCCTATCCAATATTTAATAGCTCCAATGGGTTTTTTTTTTTGTTTTTAGTAGCGAATTTTTCAAAGCGCGCAATATCTTTACATACTTGTCAATACAAATTTCACGCTAAAAACGTTGTTTTTTTCGTTATTAGTTAGTTGTTACAACGATTGTTAGTTGCATGTGATTTGGGAAGCAGCACAGTTTGTTTACTAAAGTATAATCTTATTTTTTTAATTTGTAAAGTAATAAATCGTATAATGAAGGTAAACGTTACTTCGCGATAGCTAATAACAAATCACGAAAAAGGCAACGTATTACCACATTGTGGAAAACTAGTCAGCAAAAAAAAATTGAGGTAAAACGCATCAAAGGTTTATCTCTGTACAGACGTGGATTTTAGGTATAGTCCACAGTTGCTCCGAATTAATCCGAAATGTGGACACAAAAGTGGTGTTTTTCAATGTACCTTACTACAAATGAAAGAAAATAAAACAATTCTACTCTAAATTTTATGAGACGAAAGATAAAACCCCCAAAAAATTCGCAATATGTTGGAAAAAACATTTCAAACGCGATTTTATACTCTGACGAATAAAGACAAAATGTTGGCTGTATGCAAAAAAGCTTTCCATGGATGTTTTGGGTATACAACTTCCTTAATGCAAAGGAAAATCGATGTGGAGACAGAAAACTGGAAAAGTACACGTTGAAAAAAAATGGTGTTATAGATTTTATTAACCAAATTCCGCGTAATTGAATCTCATTATTGCCGAGGACAAAGCCAACGGTTATATCTGGATTCTTCTTTGAGTATAAAATCGATGTGGAGAATGTATTTAAAAGAAAATAAAAACCTTTTAGTAAAAGAAAGCTATTTCAGGAAAATTTTTAATACACAATATAACCTTGGTTTTGGTTCTCCTAGAACCGATGCATAATCGACATCTTATACTCGTAATTGACTAAGAAAAATAAAAGCATGTCACGATAAGGCATGAAAGCCAACTTATTCACCCAAAAAAGGGTACATAAATTGACAATTGACAATTGAATAGATCAATAATTGACTTAATTCCTCTAATACCAATCTATGCACCTACAGCTCAGCTAAAAATTCGAAATTTAAGGGCACTTCAAGAAGAACTCTTTTCATTTTATTTTTTTCCTCTATATGCTATTTCCTCAATCAAGACAAAAGCAAACTGTGTCTTTTTTAAGCTTTTTTATTGTTGAAAATAATCTATCTAAAGTACTTCTATTTTAGTTCTTCTGCTTCTCCACGTGCCATATCAGAGTTATCCGACTTTGGAGATCACCATTGCAAAGGCTTCTTGATATTGTGCCACATGAAATATAATGTTAATTCTATTTGATTATATTGTTAAATTTGTTGATAAAAAATAACCACACTTAAGATAAAGTAAAAATATTTAATTTAATCAAATAATGATCGATATATTTAAAACAATATGTACAAAAAATGTTATAAAAATATTAAGAGTAAGTACACTTACAACAAGTGGACGGAAGATAACATTGTAAAAAATATTAAAAAAATCAACTCAAAATTTATTAATTTTAAAATAAATCACTCTTTGAATCCAATCCAACAAGCTTTAAACTTAAATCCCACAATTCCTCGCTAATTTTTCATTTCTGGCTAATTTTGATGTTTTACTTGGTTTACACTCAGCGTAATATAGTCCTGTCTCATTACTGCACTTTTCGTCTACTGAGCAGTATATTGAAGTTTGCGCACCTTGTACGGGAGTCTTGTAGAACATTTTGCCAACACTTGACCATATGAAATAAAGACCAGAAAAATACGCATCGTCCAGATATCTGCCGGCTTCTGTTTTTACTGCTCCAGGATGAACCGAATATACTGTTATACCATTTAGATTGTTCTCTGAAATATTTTTTTAAATAAAAAATTATCACTTATTTCTATTTAAGAATATTATTTTTATTCAATTTATTTAACTAAAATTTTCAAAAATGTCTTTTCTCAGATTATACACCAATTTTGATTGGATTTTAAAGATTGTCAGCAATAAACTCATCTTAACTTAAGTATAAAGTGATTTTTCTATATATGAAATAATCAAACAAAAGTAAAAAGTGCCCTAATTTAATGGAACTTTTAATGGAAAACATAAAAATCAATATGAAACATAAAAATCGAACACAAGATGTGTTTAATAATCTGTATTTCCTCCAGCATAATTAATTACAGCTTGACACCGATAGGCATGCTTAAAATTAATTTACCCCAATTTCGTTTTGAGGCAATAGCATCCATTCTTGTGTAGAAAGACCTTAATGACCTTGTCTAGTATAAACATTATGCAGATAAAGAGCAATCTGTCTCTGAAGCATATCCCATTCATGATCGATAGTATTAAGATTCTGGTGATGGTGCTGGCCATGATAAAAGTATAATATCCTTATGAAACCAATCTTGTACTGTTATTGCGTAGTTTCCAGGATATGGAAACTACGCAATAACTCATCACCTGAATTAGACGGACTCACTTCCTTTTTTCTCAAACAATGTGAAGAATCTATAGCCATCCCTATATCTCTAATAATTAGTATGCTTCTTTTAATCAAGAAGAAAGGAAATAAACTTGATTGTAATAATTATCGTCCAATCAGCATGGTTTCATTTGTCGGCAAGGTCATGCAATCGATTATTTTGGAAGCTATGTCTGAGTTTCTTCTTCAAGAACATTTCATCCCTCACCAACAGCATGGTTTTATCAAAGGTCGTTCAATGAATACAAGCATACTTATTGTGTAAATGATTGTTCAGTATATTTAAACAATCGGAATCTTGTCGATGTAGTCTACTTAGACTTCCCCAAACCTTTCGACCGTGTTCCAAAACGTCGATTACTGGTTAAATTGGATCACTATGGTATCTGCGAAAAGTTAAACATTTGGATTCAAGATTTTCTATCCGACAGATACTTCAGGGTCACGAGATAAGTCAGTCGAGAGTGGATTCCCATAAGTATTTAGATCACTACTTTTTTTTGTATCTACACTAGTGATCTTCCGCTCATTGTACCAGGAAGGTTTCCATCTACACTGCTGATACGAACTTGTATGTGAAGCCAACTAATAACCAATATGTTCTTGTCCTCAGAATTGTCACTACCGCTTAACATTGAAAAATGCGTTGTTTTACATATCGCCAAAAATAACCCATCACTAAATGCCCATCACATGGACATCCCTTAAACATCGTCTTCATGACAGATTACCTGAGACAAATGATAAATGAAAACTGTGACCAATGTTTTGTTTCATCAGTTTAATTCTGGCAAGGAACACTGAAATGATCGACTTTGTTTTTATGAAATATAAACTGTCACATTGCAACTGCCAGATACCATATTCAATTCAAGAAACTCTAAAATGGTTTTTAATTACTCTAACTCTAAAACTGCGTAACTAACCGCGTATTCAACGCATTGTTTCGGATTCGGTTTAGTGCATTAATGGCAAATTGAAGAGATTCATGCAATCTTATATTCAAACTTTTAGCAACTAAATGTTTATGGTTGACATGGCTAATACTCAGGATGTGGATAACGATATAATATTGATATAGAAATTGGTTTTTCCAAGAAGTAAGCTTTTAAAACATGAAATATCGATTCGTCTTTAGCATCGTTTATTTGACGAATTTCGTATTGCCACTTTTTTACGTTGTGAGCTAATGCATATTTAGTTGTTCGTATATATTGTTTCATGTAGTTGTAAAAAAGAAAAAACTAACTTTACCTTTAAGTTTCGAACCAATTCTTGGGAAAACAAAAGGTTGCATACTTTGCTTTCGTTATAAGCTTTTATATTGCCATATTTCCTCTTTTGGTAGTTCATCATCGATAGATCCAATTCCCATAATGCTAAAAAAATAATTAAACTATAAAATCTTTTGTTTAGAGAAAATTTAAGAAAGCCCCAAAAAGGTCCTTTAGCAGATGACGAGATGGGTTGTATTAACATCACCAATACAAGTACAAGGACCAAAATGGAAGAACAGGACAAAATAATAGGACAATGGACCGTTTTGGAGAGCCGTGACCAACGATAATGGTGAAATATTAATTGAGCTGTGTGAACTGAACAAGCTGAAAATTACAAGCGGCTTCTTCAGACATAAGAACATACATAAATATATATGTAATCAAATTATACGAGATAACATACATCAGATCCATTATGGATTACTGGCCTTTTGGCTTTGTCATGCCATTCACAAGAAAAAAAATTATGGATTAGATAATTGTCAACAAAAGTGATTAGAACCTCTAAATCAAAATATATTCGAATATAATCAAGGGAAACGCAAAGGCGATATCAAAAACTATAGAGCTATAAGCATACTATCAATCATATACAAGATATTCACAAAGATCATTAACAACATATTAGCAAATGCATTATTCAAGAGAGCAAGCTGGCTACAGAAGTGGATTCATACCTCAAATCCATACTCTTCGAAAACTAATGAATAGAGCTAAACCAATATCTGATTGCTAATAATCTTGCAGAACTACAACAACTTATAAGCGACCTATATGCAGCTAGCAACGAAGTTGACCTGAAAAATTAACTTGACAAAACAAAAACCATCTACAACAAGCTATGGATGTCCAAGATGTAATAATAAACAACACTGCACTTATAATCATCATATTAAGTCAGTAAATGCAGTTTTATTCCAAATCCAGAATGACACTCCCACCTGTAAAAGAAAAATGCATATCGATCCGGTGTGTAATTACCCTAATCATGACACGGAATCTACGACCAAAAGGACGCGGAAAAACAGGACGCGTGACCAAAGGACGCCGGAAGAAAAAAGAATAAAAGGACGCGCGAAAAAAAGGACAACGCAGAAAAAAGGAGCGCTGGAAAAAAAGGACGCATATTAATTATTGAATTACTATAATCAAGTTTATTTTTAATTTGATCATTAGCCATTACCCCCTTGTTTATCCCCTATATGTTATAAACAGAAAATGGATTCTGACCTAACCTACAGATCGGTTACGGTAAAAGTGTATAAAGTGAAAAATAATTTTATATAAAAAAAACTTAGAACCCCTCATTAGACCCCTTATTATGGTCTGGTACTTGGGTTTTCTAATCCCATACATAATTCTGATAATATGGAATCTAATATTTTACTTCAGATTATTTTAGTCCTAAGCCTCGATAAAATGTGAGGGCCAAGGTTTTTTTCATATAATTATTTTTGCAAACTTTTTATTACTCTTAACCCTAACCGACTTTAGGTTTAAGGTCAAATCATTTTCTTGTAATTAACATCATGGGGATAACAAGGGGGTAATGGCTAATGATCAATTAAAATAACTATTATAGTAATTCAATAATAATATGCGTCCCTGTTTTTCCACGCGTCCTTTTTTCTGCGTGTCCTTTTTTTCGCGCGTCCTTTTATTCTTTTTTCTTCCGGCGTCCTTTGGTTCTCGCGTCCTGTTTGTCCGCGTCCTTTTGGTCGTAGATTCCGTGTCATGATTAGGGTAATACACACCGGATCGATATGCTTTTTTCTTCAGGTGGAGTGTCATTCTGGATTTGGAATATAACTGCATTTACTGACTTATATGATGATTATAAGTGCAGTGTTGTTTATTATTACATCTTGGACATCCACTAGCTTGTTGTAGATTGGTTTTTGTTTTTGTCAAGTTAATTTTTCAGGTCAACTTCGTTGCTAGCTGCATCTAGGTCGCTTATAAGTTGTTGTAGTTGTGCAAGATTATAGCAATCAGATATTGGTTTTAGCTCTATTCATTAGTTTTCGAAGAGTATGGATTTGAGGTACTGAATCCACTTCTGTAGCCAGCTTGCTCTCTTGACTAATGCATTTGCTAATATGTTGTTAATGATCTTTGTGAATATCTTGTATTGATATGATATATGCTTATAGCTCTATAGTTTTTGATATCACCTTTGCGTTTCCCTTGATTATATTCTGAATATATTTTGATTTATAGAGGTTCTAATCACTTTTGTTGACAATTATCTAATCCATAATTTTGTTCCTAGGTGAATGGCACTGACAAAGCCAAAAGGCCAGTAATCCATAATGGATCTGATGTTTCTCGTTATTTGTACATATATATTTATGTATGTTCTTATGTCTGAAGAAGCCGCTTGTAATTTTCAGCTTGTTCAGTTCACACAGCTCAATTAATATTTCACCATTATCGTTGGTCACGGCTTCTCCAAAACGGTCATTGTCCTATTATTTTGTCCTGTTTTTCCATTTTGGTCCTTGTACTTGTATTGGTGATGTTAAATACAATCCATCTCGTCATCTGCTAAAGGACCTTTTTGGGGCTTTCTTAAATTTTCTCTAAAACAAAAGATTTTATAGTTTAATTTTTTTTTTAGCCATATGGGAATTGGATCTATCCGATATGAACTACCAAAAGAGGAAATATGGCAATATAAAAGCTTATAACGAAAGCAAAGTATGCAACCTTTTGTTTTCCCAAGAATTGGTTCGAAAACTTAAAGGTAAAGTTAGTTTTTTCTTTTTTACAACTACATGAACAATATATACGAACAACTAAATATGCATTAGCTCACAACGTAAAAAAGTGGCAATACGAAATTCGTCAAATAAACGATGCTAAAGACGAATCGATATTTCATGTTTTAAAAGCTTACTTCTTGGAAAAACCAATTTCTATATCAAATATTATATCGTTATCCACATCCTGAGTATTAGCCATGTCAACCATAAACATTTAGTTGCTAAAAGTTTGAATATAAGATTGCTTGAATCTCTTCAATTTGCCATTAATGCACTAAACCGAATCCGAAACAATGCGTTGAATACGCGGTTAGTTACGCAGTTTTAGAGTTAGAGTAGATTTAAAAACCATTTTAGAGTTTCCTTGAATTGAAATATGGTATCTGGCAGTTTGCAATGTGACAGTTTATATTTCATAAAAACAAAGTCGATCATTTCAGTGTTCCTTGCCAGAATTAAACTGATGAAACAAAACATTGGTCACAGTTTTCATTATCATTTGTCTCAGGTAATCTGTCATGAAGACGATGTTTAAGGGATGTCCATGTGATGGGCATTTAGTGATGGGTTATTTTTGGCGATATGTAAAAACAACGCATTTTCAATGTTAAGCGGTAGTGACAATTCTGAGGACAGAACATATTGGTTATTAGTTGGCTTCACATACAAGTTCGTATCAGCAGTGTAGATGGAAACCTTCCTGGTACAATGAGCGGAAGATCACTAGTGTAGATACAAAAAAAAGTAGTGATCTAAATACTTATGGAATCCACTCTCGACTGACTTATCTCGTGACCCTGAAGTATCTGTCGGATAGAAAATCTTGAATCCAAATGTTTAACTTTTCGCAGATACCATAGTGATCCAATTTAACCAGTAATCGACGTTTTGGAACACGGTCGAAAGGTTTGGGGAAGTCTAAGTAGACTACATCGACAAGATTCCGATTGTTTAAATATACTGAACAATCATTTACACAATAAAGTATGCTTGTATTCATTGAACGACCTTTGATAAAACCATGCTGTTGGTGAGGGATGAAATGTTCTTGAAGATGAAACTCCAGACATAGCTTCCAAAATAATCGATTGCATGACCTTGCCGACAAATGAAACCATGCTGATTGGACGATAATTATTACAATCAAGTTTATTTCCTTTCTTCTTGATTAAAAGAAGCATACTAATTATTAGAGATATAGGGATGGCTATAGATTCTTCACATTGTTTGAGAAAAAAGGAAGTGAGTCCGTCTAATTCAGGTGATGAGTTATTGCGTAGTTTCCATATCCTGGAAACTACGCAATAACAGTACAAGATTGGTTTCATAAGGATATTATACTTTTATCATGGCCAGCACCATCACCAGATCTTAATACTATCGATCATGAATGGGATATGCTTCAGAGACAGATTGCTCTTTATCTGCATAATGTTTATACTAGACAAGGTCATTAAGGTCTTTCTACACAAGAATGGATGCTATTGCCTCAAAACGAAATTGGGGTAAATTAATTTTAAGCATGCCTATCGGTGTCAAGCTGTAATTAATTATGCTGGAGGAAATACAGATTATTAAACACATCTTGTGTTCGATTTTTATGTTTCATATTGATTTTTATGTTTCATATTGATTTTTATGTTTCCATTAAAAGTTCCATTAAATTAGGGCACTTTTTAACTTTTGTTTGATTATTTCATTATAGAAAAATCACTTTATACTTAAGTTAAGATGAGTTTATTGCTGACAATCTTTAAAATCCAATCAAAATTGGTGTATAATTGAGAAAAGACATTTTTGAAAATTTTAGTTAAATAAATTGAATAAAAATAATATTCTTAAATAGAAATAAGTGATAATTTTTTATTTAAAAAAATTATTTCAGAGAACAATCTAAATGGTATAACAGTATATTCGGTTCATCCTGGAGCAGTAAAAACAGAAGCCGGCAGATATCTGGACGATGCGTATTTTTCTGGTCTTTATTTCATATGGTCAAGTGTTGGCAAAATGTTCTACAAGACTCCCGTACAAGGTGCGCAAACTTCAATATACTGCTCAGTAGACGAAAAGTGCAGTAATGAGACAGGACTATATTACGCTGAGTGTAAACCAAGTAAAACATCAAAATTAGCAAGAAATGAAAAATTAGCAGAAGAATTGTGGGATTTAAGTTTAAAGCTTGTTGGATTGGATTCAAAGAGTGATTTATTTTAAAATTAATAAATTTTGAGTTGATTTTTTTTAATATTTTTTACAATGTTATCTTCCGTCCACTTGTTGTAAGTGTACTTACTCTTAATATTTTTATAACATTTTTTGTACATATTGTTTTAAATATATCGATCATTATTTGATTAAATTAAATATTTTTACTTTATCTTAAGTGTGGTTATTTTTTATCAACAAATTTAACAATATAATCAAATAGAATTAACATTATATTTCATGTGGCACAATATCAAGAAGCCTTTGCAATGGTGATCTCCAAGTCGGATAACTCTGATATGGCACGTGGAAGAAGCAGAAGAACTAAAATAGAAGTACTTTAGATAGATTATTTTCAACAATAAAAAAAGCTTAAAAAAGACACAGTTTGCTTTTGTCTTGATTGGGAAATAGCATATAGAGGAAAAAAATAAAATGAAAAGAGTTCTTCTTGAAGTGCCCTAATTTCGAATTTTTAGCTGAGCTGTAGGTGCATAGATGGTATTAGAGGAATTAAGTCAATTATTGATCTATTCAATTGTCAATTGTCAATGTATGTACCCTTTTTTGGGTGAATAAGTTGGCTTTCATGCCCTTATCGTGACATGCTTTTATTTTTCTCAGTCAATTACGAGTATAAGCATGTCGATTATGCATCGGTTCTAGGAGAACCAAAACCAAGGTTATATTGTGTATTAAAAATTTTCCTGAAATAGCTTTCTTTTACTAAAAGGTTTTTATTTTCTTTTAAATACATTCTCCACATCGATTTTATACTCAAAGAAGAATCCAGATATAACCGTTGGCTTTGTCCTCGGCAATAATGAGATTCAATTACGCGGAATTTGTTAATAAAATCTATAACACCATTTTTTTTCAACGTGTACTTTTCCAGTTTTCTGTCTCCACATCGATTTTCCTTTGCATTAAGGAAGTTGTATACCCAAAACATCCATGAAAGCTTTTTTGCATACAGCCAACATTTTGTCTTTATTCGTCAGAATATAAAATCGCGTTTGAAATGTTTTTCCAACATATTGCGAATTTTTTGGGGGTTTTATCTTTCGTCTCATAAAATTTAGAGTAGAATTGTTTTATTTTCTTTCATTTGTAGTAAGGTACATTGAAAAGCACCACTTTTGTGTCCACATTTCGGATAAATTCGGAGCAATTGTGGACTATACCTAAAATCCACGTCTGTACAGAGATAAACCTTTGATGCGATTTACCTCAATTTTTTTTTTGCTGACTTGTTTTCCACAATGTGGTAATACGTTGCCTTTTTCGTGATTTGTTATTAGCTATCGAAGTAACGTTTACCTTCATTATACGATTTATTACTTTACAAATTAAAAAAATAAGATTATACTTTAGTAAACAAACTGTGCTGCTTCCCAAATCACATGCAACTAACAATCGTTGTAACAACTAACCTAATAACGAAAAAACAACGTTTTTAGCGTGAAATTTGTATTGCAAGTTGTAAAAGATATTGCGCGCTTTGAAAAATTCGCTACTAAAAACAAAAAAAAAACCCATTGGAGCTTTTAAATATTGGATAGGAGATTGTACAGTTTGAAAATTTAATGTCATTGCAGATTGAACGTTTTGAATTGAAGTCTAATTTTCTGTCTTCAAAATTCATTGGATAATAACTATTTTGAAAAGAGATTTTCTGTTGTTTCGATTCAGGGCTAGAAACTCGACGTAATGCAACATCTAATTTGTGAAATATGTAGATTGTATACTTTGAAACTATATACTGAAACTACAGTGCGTAAATCTTTCAGCTGGACATAGGTAATATACATAAAGGTAAGCGCCTCTCGAGTATATGCCAATATATTGTGCAATTAATTGCCAAATAACAAATACAACGCATATGAATTTCGATAAAAAAGGAACAATGTATTTATCTTTTGTTATATATCGGGAATAAACTTTGTTTACAATGAAAATTGTAGGTAATAATGACATTTTGTGGAGGTCACGAAAGTTCCCATCTAAAATATTTAAATTCTGGTTGGGTTTGCTTTCGTTTGTTTTGGTATAATATATTATGTTTTATAAAAAAAAACTAAACAAGCAGGTTATTTATAACATTTGCTATGTTAGGTACTTAAATCAAGTTAATTATAATTTATAATTATATAGGCGAATAATGACATGGACTTTAGAATACTGGTATAAATGATTGTAGTAATATACACTTTCAACAAACGTAAACAGAATGTTAAAATAATACTACAAATCTATGATGCAATTCTAACAAAATCTTTGGCTACTAATTACCATTTAATGAGAATGATTACTTGAATTTTTGTATAATAGAAAGCTCAATCAAAAGTACATTAGTACTAAATAATATAAATTATGATATAATACTTATTTCGGATGAAGAGAAGAAGATGATTGGGTAAAAAGTCATAAATATAAAGCACAATCATTTGCAAACCATCTCAATCAAGTCTATAAACTTTACTCCTGAATTGTCTCAATTGAAGAAGGAAAATTCATTCACGAAAACATAGGTTCACTTTACCAGATGTCACCATCTGTACTAGAAATCTATATTTACTCTTCTTCTTTACGTGCTGTCTCCCAATTGGAGGTTGGATATCATCATCACTATCTTTACTTTATCTACTGCTACTCCGAAGAGTTCTATAGAACTGTATTTAAACCAGTCCCTTAAATTCTTCAACCATGACACTCTCCTTCTTCCTGTACTCCTTCCTCCTCTTTTCCTCCATCTTTTCCTGTATTATCAGCCTTAGCAGTAGCACTTCATATCGATGTCCCCTCATTACTTGTCTCAGATATGGCAACTTTCTTGTTTTTATTGTGTTTATTACTTCGCATTCTTTGCCCATTTCTCGCAATACTTCCGTGTTAGTTTTCTTCTGTGTCCATGCTATTCTAAGCATCCTCCTGTAACACCACATTTCAAAGGACTGTAACTTCTTTATGTGTTCTTGCTTCAATGTCCAGCTTTCAAGTCTATATTGCAGTATCGAACACGTTTATAGGGGAAGAGGCGACCACAATCTAGCTCTAGAAGAAATCGACGAGATGATAGATTTCACAGAAACTGTGGTATTAGCAGGAGACTTCATGGGGATGCGCAGAAATAAACCATGATGGATAACTTCCTTCTTTCATCCAGGCCACAAGAAGATTCCTTAAGACCAGAGACATTCTCAACAGAAATTGAATACAGAGGATGTACCGAAAAAATTACAGACCATTTGACCATCTAACGAGTCACCAAATATCGTAAAAATTTTTTTTGTGGAAGATAAAAATAAAAAACAAAAAACTCAACTTGCTGTGTTTTTATTTCCAACAACTTTGTTATTTAAAAATTTTTCCGTAGTATTTGTAGCTTTAACGAAAATCGTGATAAAACGTTTTTGTCCTTAAAAACTCACCCCTTTCCACTTCCCGACCTCCGATAGTCCGAAAATAAATAAGTTTTTTTAATTTTTGTTATATTTTCTTCTTTTTCAAGTGGGTTCTTCCCTGTTACTCTTTTTTCCATTTTTGACCATTTTTAAAGGTCCCAGTAGTTTATAATTTTCTAACATACTTCCGAATGCACCGATTAAGAATTGACCCTACACCCCTCATAGAAAGAATAAACCTTACAACTTTTGATAGGAATCATTTCAATGCAACACTACATATAAACGCAAACTATCCCCATGGACAAGCCACCCATTAACTATTGATGTAACACTTACCAAGTATCCCAAATCTACTACAAATTCCACAGTAATTAAATCTCTATTCATGGAAATTCTAGACCACTATCCTAATTATTTGCAAATCTTTACCGATGCCTCTAAAACTCCCAATGGTCACGCTGCTGCCTACTACTGTAAAGAAAATTCTTATAGCATATCGATACCAACCAACTGCAGTATACTAACAGGTGAAGCTACAGCTATTTTGGAAGCCCTAATCTTCTTCGAAAAGAGTAGAACGATGAAGTGCATTATCGTAACAGACTCATTAAATGCATTACTGAAACTGAAAAAAATATATACCAACAACCCTATTATACAGAATATAAAAAACGTACTAGAAAAAATTTCATCATTAGGAAAGGAAGCGGCTTTTATTTGGGTACCATCACATATAGGTATCTACGGAAATGAAAAAGCAGATCAACTGGCTAACAAAAGTCGAATGAACTCAAACCATATTGCACAATTGAAGACATATCCGTACACCGATCTAAAAAACCTGGTTAAAATCCATTGTATTAATACTTGGCAAAATTATTGGGAAAAATTAGGTACTAAACTAAATGTAATTTGCCCAAAAATAACTGATGTTCTGGAGACTCCTTTAAACAGAAGAAACCAAGTCATTATTAATCGTCTAAGAATTGGCCATACTGCCTTAACACACAAATACTTAATAACAAAAGAACCACTACCTATCTGCTGCAGCTGCTCTAACCCACTGACTGTCAAACATATCTTGCTTGATTGTCCTCAATTCATGGAAAAAAGAAGATCCCATGGATTCACAGATGATGATCTCAAGACAGTTCTCACCAAAAAAATTTTCAACAGTGTTAAGCTATTTAAAAGACATCAATTTATTCAATTGTATTTAATGTAATATTCAATTGTACTTAATGTATCATTCAATTGTATTTAATGTAATATTTCATGTATTTGTTACAGCCACTAATAACCCTGCGCGGTTGATGTGGTTTTGTGTTTAAATAAAAAAAAAAATAAAAAAAAATTAAAAAAAAGAATTGACCGATGATCTTTGTATTTTTTTTTTAATAGATTATTATAAACTACCGGTTCATATGCCGAGTCATCTTCGTTTAATTTTGTTTTTAGTTTTGGCAATTACATAAGTTTAAAGATGATTTCATTAAATCTTCACAAGGTCACAAAACCATTATATAAAAAACCAGGTAATTTAATGGTGTATTATAAAACAACGATTTAACGATGCGAATATGTATAACAGTTATAACACTTAAAAATAAGACGCATCTTAATGATCGTCAAGTACACTTTTTTTTCTACGACCACGCATACATATTATGAAAAATAATGTATTTATTTACCAAATGTATAAACAGTTAGAGCTAAATACAGATAATAT